GTTTAAGCATACATAATTTTACAAAGTTGATTTTTATAGCTCAGTTTTAATCAAGTTGTAGATTTTTATAAGCTTTTTGCTGCTACTGAATGTATGCTTAAACACAATAATTCTTTCCCTAGATTCATTGTGCTTAAAGCATATATTCATTCCTAGTTTTTCCTTTTACTTTATTAGTGTTTTTTCTTCCTTTGTTAGGTTTTTTTCCGATTAATTCTGTAGACTTTAATTGCAGTCATTACTCATATCAGTTATATTTTTTAAACCTTTGAGCTATTTAACTAATTTAATATTATATAGACTGAGGTCACAAAGTCCTTACCCAGTATTAAGTTTCGCAACTGTTGGTCGTAGACATATACTTTCAATTACAAAATTGATTTAAACTACGCAAACATTTCTGTTTCAACACGTTTAAACTTAAAAAAAAAATAGTTTGGTAAAAATTTTGAAAAATAACTTCTGATTCGTTCCTCCGGTTCCTATAATTATATATAATTTTTTTTACTTACTATAAAAACATTATGTAGACATCACACGACTTCCTTGTACGGCTTATCAAATTAAACATGTGTTTTGCTGCACTTCATTTAAACTTATTTCCTCGAATTATTGTAACTTAAGCGATTTCTCAAGACAAGTGGAAAATGACATCAAAATTTGCAAATATTGAAATTAAAATATCCCTTCTTGTATTTTTATTTTTTTAGAATTCTTTCGTAACTGGAAGTATATAACTACGACCAACAACCGCGAAAGTAAAAGCCGTATATGAAAAGTCAACTAATTTCCGATCAATGACAATGATGACATGCTTTTAATTTAATTTTTCCTTTTACAATTGAAATTTTGTTCTTCATGATTATTTAATTCCAGTCCCCGTTAAAACATTTTTAACATTTTACTTTCAAGTTCTTCAAAACATCTTTCAAAATATAACTTACCAGTATGGATTCACTCTTTTAAAATAATTCTACTTTAATTAAACTTAGAAGATAATATAATCAATATTGTTTAGGAAATAAACTATTATATATATATATATACATACTTTTGATACTGCCGATTGCAATAAAAAAGGGAGGCGCACAACTAGATGCTATAGCAGTCCCATATACAATACTTTAACGTTCTACGGATAATCATTTTTTAGTTATGCGAGATACATATACAAGTACTTACAGAAGCCAAGCAAAAATCAATTTTGAAACCGATTTTACAATGGTTTTGGAATAAAGAATCCTTAACTTATAAAAATCCACAACTTAATTAAAACTGAGCTATAAAAATCAACTTTGTAAAATTATGTATGCTTAAACTGTAAACAGTACTTATCTTTCCCAGTATTAAATAATAACAGGAAAAGTACGTAAAACGTCATGGGAAAAAAATAAGATTTGTGAACTGTCGGAATGAATATTTTCGTTGAAATCTGATAATTGAAAATTTTCGCGATTACAATACTTCCTTTAATTTGTACAAGGAAGTAATAAAACTAAACATTTGATTCCTGAGCAACAAAAAATGAACAAGCTATTTGATATTAAAATCGGAATTATGTTCAGGTGTCTAACGCAAACTGAACAGCGTAATGTTTGTATTGTATGTAACTTAAAATGAATGTATACTTTGTGTTCACTAATTTGCTTTTTCTATTATTTGCTTACGTTGAAGTTCCAGTTACATACTTTTAAGGATTTAGAACTCAAAGGGAGCTAGATATATTCTTCTTTCCGCAGTGATAACAAGCATGCCTGAGAAATTTCTGTGTCTGTTTATTATCTAAGCACAAATTACTACTGAAATTTCTCTCCTGATTAATTTATGAGTTTTTATTTAAAACAGGAAATTTCATTTTCTTTCTTTAGGTGTACCGTATATTTCCGCAGATAAGAAGACCTCAAAATAAAGAAGAGGTATAAAATTATCGTCAAAGGTTTAGAGATTTAAAGCATATTCCTGTACTACAAGACGACTCCTAAACTATCAATGGCCTATGAATTTGATTTAGATCAGTAATCATCATCTGCAAAAAAACAAATTTTCGCATCTGGGTGCACTGCCTATAGAAACACGTGCCATATCACGAACTCACATGTACCTCTAAAAAGTTTAATTTCCTGTATCTGGCAGCACTACCTCTAGAAGCGCGTGCTGAATCACGAACTCACTTCTAACAAGTTTCGGTGTAAGTGTGTCGTGTGTTCAAATAGTTGGCTCTATAATCAGCGTAACATTTGTGAAATCTGGCCCTAATCAAGGAACCAAAGAAAAGAAGGCAATATGAAGCAAGCTTAAAGTTGAACGTCATAAAACAAGCTAAAGATTCCAACAACTGTGTTGAAGCAAAGAGTTTCGGTGTAATAGAGAAGGTGGCTAACAGAGTGGAGAAAGAATGAAGATTCTATTAAAAAATGCCAGTGAAAATATGTTCTCTGAAGAGAGAAATAGCTTGCTGGCCAGATTTAGAAAATAACGCTGCAGAATGGGGACAAGAACAGAAGCAGAATTGTTACATTATTACAAGAAATATGTTTAGGGCTTATTCATTGAAGTGGGCAAAACCAGAACTAGGCAAAGAATTTAAAGCAACAGTAGGTTAGTGCAATCGTTTCATGAACAGAAAAAAAGTCTGGTAAGAAGACAGAAAACAAAAACTGCGCAGAAATTATCACAAGATCCTGACCGTAAAGTCACGAGATTTTATAAGTTTGTTATTGGTATGAAACAAAAATATAGTTTACCTAATTTTGATGCCGCTTAGATGGGAAAGTGTTTAGCGACTCTGATTGCCATATCGAAAGGCCCGGGTTCGAATCCTGGAGAAGGCAAGGATGTAATTTGCCCGTCCCTTCATAAGAGGCAACATTGGCCCACCTCTCCATAATAAAGACAGTGTCTCCATAATAAAGACAGCACCGCTTCCGCCCTTAGTGGTGGCCAACGCCTGTAAACGGTTAGCGCCTGCCACTGGAGGAAAAAATTGTCTAATATTGGAAACATGGATATAAACACCTGTACAGACATTAAGTATTTTGGGAGCAGGTAAGATGAAAAATTAGCAACCGCATTCGCCGGGAATCGAACCACGGACCTGTGGAATACCGACCCAGCATGCAAAGCCTCAAGGGCTATCTGCCTAAGGGGAGGGATGCCTTCGTGGAGGTCTTTCTAAGGTAAACTGGCTCGTATACACGTTACACATGGGGAAAACCACGAAAACGCCGATGCAGCCAGCCCGTTCACGGGATTCGAACCTCGGACCGAACTACCAGGAAAGCACGCTAGGAAAGTGGGAGAAATACCTTATATACTCGACTTTTTAAAGGGCGACTGGGGTTTTTAGGGGACCCAATCGCCAAATCCTGGGGGGGAGAAATCATCATCCACCACCCTTTTAGTTCGAGCGCCACTGTAGAGACATTAAGATTCTTTGGAAGCCGGAGAGATGAAAATTTAGCAACCGCCTTTGCCGGGAATCGAACCACGGCCTCTGGAATACCGGCGCAGCGTGCAGAACCACTACACCACGAAAGCACGCTAGGAAAGCGGGAGAAATAAATACCTAACACACCCATGAATTTCGACTTGATAAACAACAGAACTGTGGGGAAAAGAAAAAAAAAAAAAAAAAAAAAAAAAAAAAACGGTAAAAACTGTCACAAATACATGCCATTAAAAGGCCAGGTTTACAGTAGTATTAATATGCATGACAGATGAAACAAAGTTAAAAAAACCTGGTCATTTTCAAGAGGAAAACTAATAACTCCTAAATCAAAATTCCCACCAGGCACTGCCATACATTTTCAGGCTTCTATGCTACAATCTTTAGACGTCTCTCTAAATAAAAAACATTCAAAGATCATATGCGTAAACAATGGAATACTTGGATGATGAGTGGCGAGAGGTATATAAAAGGTAGAGCTATGCGGGCTACGTCACTTGATCTGCAATGCGATTTCGCGATCAAATCATGAGTAAACGTGAAAGTGAAAAGAGTGATCAAATCCTTTGCGGCGGACCCCACGAAGATAAGAAATTCATGTGTCCGGTCCCTCACAGATTTCTGTGTTCCAGCTGTTACGAGGTGTGAGATGACCGGCTCTGACATTGTAGAAGGTATATTTCGTTCAGTTACGGCTCCACTTGAATTTATAAGAATCACAACTTCACGGCCAGTGTCAAGGGATTTTAGTGATCTGCACTGTGCCTGTCACCAAAGCATCTCGATTTCAGGAAGGCTGACGGACCAATGATCCTGTTTCTCCTCTGATATCGTTTCAATTATAACGAATCAGAGAAGGTAAAATGCAACCGAAAAATTAAAGCGGCGTGACTAAGTCAATTTATAAACTGTTTTAGACAAGGCAGAATTCGGAATGCTCCTAAACTCTCGACTAGAGAGACTCTTGCTGCTAGTAAGATCCTTACGTAATGAGGACAATAACCTTACAATAATCTCCCATGCTTTTATTGTTATGTATAGTAATACAACTTCTGACAGATTTATATAAAATGTATTTTATTCTATAAACAATAAGTAATATGAAAATCTTATAAAGGCAACCACAACAGCTATCATATGGAGTCGCGCCATCAGAGTACCGTCATCACCTCACCTTCAAAAATTGTGGGAAACTAATGATGAAGCGGAAATCGAATTGCTAGGTTCAGAATGAGACCCACATCAGAGCTTCTTAACAACAAAAGTGAGGATGTATTTTAGGAACTATTTTACCTTAGATGAAGAATGTGGGGAATTAGCAGAATTTTAAATACAATGGCGAGTGATCTGCATTATTTTATAATGGTTTATAATTCATATAAATATCAATCTAATTTTTTTTGTATCTATCCTATAGGGTGATCTCGGATTTCGGGGGACTTTTTTTATGATTCAATTTTCGTCTTATCTGCGGAAATATACAGTACTAATAATTAACACATTGGATTGAAGTAAAAAATTTAAATTACTGCGCTTCTTTATCATTGTTTCTTACCCTTCAAAACATGAAGATGATGTTAATAGCCACTCATCAGATATAAGCGTAGCGTCGCATACATAATCTCCATTCTTTAAAATAGCAACATGCCAAGGCCATTGTCCATGAACAGCACCAAAACGCCCTTCGGGAAGGTTCAAAGCAAAATTCCTCGCCACTCTAGCCGAATGAGCTGGTCTCAGTCCACAAGCTAGAGAAAGCAGTAAAAAATCTTTCTCAGCAAGTTTAATAATAAGACTTGAATGAAAATGAAATGAAAATTCTACATATAGGTCACTTTATTTCACAGTGCATTCTATCAAATACATAAGGGGGGGGGAGAATCACTACAATCTTAGATATACTACTTTCTTTATACACTGAAATGGGATTGAAACAGAGTCTAACAATATAGTAAATGCATACTGAACATAATTCTTATAACATGGCAATAGAATTATTTTGCCCAATGGTTTTTACATTTTCTAGAAATATTTTGATGTAAGCAGAAATTTTATAGAAACAAGTCTTCTCACCACTTGATCCACACTTGACGTAAATGATGTTCTGACTATCACATGGTACTTGAACGAATCTAAAAGATAAAATTTCACACAAGTAATTTAGAATTTTCATTAAATCAACACAGACAGACAATAAATTTTAAATATTCAAATCTACACCTACATTTAATAACAATAATTTACATTTGATTAGACCTGTTGATGCAGAAAAGAATTTTAGAATTTACAATCCAGTTTTTTGTTCAAATGTACAGAATTCTAACTTGTTGCTTTCAACAGTGCAAATTTTATGAATACCTAAATTTAATGTTTTATTTCTAGGATTTTTAAAACGTTTTGAAGCTATAAAATCCTTTATTGTTATATGGTATGAGGCACTTTGTATTTAATTTGTTAAATGTTCTTTTAATTATGAAAAATTTTTATTCTAAATTCAGGAAACATTTTTATTTTGAATACAGCTGTCATTCATTTTAAATTGCTTAACTAATTAAAGAGAGCAGATATACTTAGAATTGCTTTTATAAGCTTCAAATAAAAAAAAATTGAGTATTAAATAGAAGAGAGCAAAAAAATGTAATGATTAAAAAAAACGTTTTTTAAAGGTTTCGAGGCGTACTAATAACGAAGCTTAGCTGGCTGTTTAAAGATTGTTTTTTTTTCATATTATCTTAATTTTTTTTCACATTATTGTAAAAAAGCTGTCAATGTTATTTTAAAGAGCATTATTTAAAAGCGCACGAACCGAAATCAATTATTTATTAATTAGCTTAAATAATGAAGGTTTCTTGTTTCGGTAAACAAAAATGAAGAAAAATAAGATAATTAATCTATCAAAATTATTTTTTCACTTCTTCACGATAACTGCTTTCAAATTAGACCCCTTCTCATAAATTCATCACTTAAGCCTTTTTATTTTAGTCATAAGAATAATAGGCAATTAATAAGCAAATTATCTTTGACATCTCCATTTTACTGAGCAGGAATATCAAGTTCTAATGTAATTTTACGTTTTGGTTATAATTACTCATTGGGTTGTTCTTTGGAAGCAGTTTGTGTAAATTTTATGCCCCGAACTCCGAGTAACATTTTGGTGTTTTATTATGAGAAGTATAGCAGTGCATTAAGTAGCATAATCACAAATGAAAAAACGTAATAGCAACACAATTTAATATCAAACACTTGTAACTGCCTTCTTAACCTTTTCATGTTACTGAGATAAAAAAAGAAAATAAGAGCCAAAAGTAAAATGAAAATCAGGATAGGGGCGCTTTAATAATCAAACAACAAATTTTACTAATAGGTAGGAAAATGACCGGCAAGTTTGAACTTCTACAAAATATGAGTAGTTTTGTAACTAATAGAGGGATGAAATGAGTTATTTAAAATCTACGTCAAACTAACATTACGTTTGTGTCTAACTTAATATCTTACATTGGTAGCTTTCTCTTTCAATTTGATTTGATTTGTTACTTGCAGTATCAAGAACGAGGTAATTTAAAAGGCCTTGGAGATGGCTTTTAAATTACCGCTTTCCAAATGGAACTCTGAACGTGTTAAATCGACAGTTCATTATTTGTCAATTAAATCGAAATAGCATTCCCATCTCTTTAATCAGCAGCAAAACTTTATGATGTAACTTAATTTAAGTTATTAGCTTTTTAATAAAAATTTCAGTTGGCTTTATTTCTATTGAGCTACTTTTTAAAAACTACGAAAAATTTAGTTTTAATGATTAAGCTTCAAAGCCTAACCAGCCACAAGTAATTCCAGTTATAAAGTTTCGAAAAATAAGAAAAAATATTTTGTGAAAACACTTTCAAATCTATGGGTGAATAAATAATTTAACATTTTATACGGCCTCCAAAGAGTAAACATTTCAACCACTGAAACGTTAATTTTGATTTCCTAAGTTAAATAGGAAACACTGCTAGCTTTACGGGCAGAATTCGAAAAGAAGCGCGCAATTAACATTTTCATGGAATCAGCTACAAATTTTATAACAAGTGGGTTCCTTTATAGAATCATTAATTTCGGATCGGAAAGTCTTTATTTTGTAGTTGTATTTCGGATATTAACGGGCACTAAAAATGATTCTATAAATACATTCTCGAATATATCACTTAAATTTGCTTGTTGAAGTATGGGACTTGATGGAAATATCGTCAAATAGAATTTCTGCTCGACGAGAATTATATTAAATGCTAGATTTTGTTTGGTATTTTGCTATTATCATGCCGATCGTCAAATGTTACGATTTAGCGCCAGTTATGAAATCGGATAAACGAGACGTAACAACATACTCATGACACCTGCGGTTTGATGTAATTTAATAATTGATTTTCGATAAGCCGCATTTTTCTGTTAAATTACATGTTGTTTTTGCATTTCATTCTTGCATTTTAAAAAGAAAGTTATTAAAATTTAGGCACTTACGTATTAACGCACCAACCTTGGCGCAATCGTTTTAGGAAGAAAAGGAAAAATGTTACTTCTTGGGTGCAAGTTGGTTATTTTTGTGATATTTTTCAAAAGGATTCCAGAAGTATCGATAATTATTGCAAGTGGACAAACCTTATAAATACATTTCAGCAATTTAAAATAAAAATTTTAATTTTTAAACTCGGTTTACGTGACACATCAAAAAACAAAACACTTATGTTCGTCTCCAAATTTTCTTTTTTAAAAAATTTTTTATTTGGCCGCTAATCTTCTTCAGTATACAGAGATTTGTTTTCGCTTAACAAAACATCAGAGAACAGCAAAGACTTGACCTCACTCAAACCTCGGCTGCACCGGCTATCTATCCCGTAATTCCCTTTAGAGATTTTGAGGAAAAAGTTTTTGTATTCCTGCTGGAATTTTACCCCAGGTTTTTTCATTACTGGCAATTCCGCATATATTAAATAAAGGAAACAATATCATGATATGTCTCCAAAAACCGATGGAACTTAGAATGCAACAAAAAGAATGCATACGAAAGGAGTGACTTCTACTAAGGTGGTTGCGATAACATGTAAGTACCAAAATTTGGCACATGCTTACTATGGAACAACAAGAGTGGATTATTTTTAAAGTAATAGGATCTACCATAAAAAAAGTGTGTGTTAATGTTAGTGGTGGTACATGCTACGTCAAGTATATGGCAAGAGTAGATGGAGCAACAAAAAGAATATACCATGATAATAGAAAGAACAAGCTGGAATCGAAAAATTTTAAAATTACCATCAAAAATCTAAAACAGCACAACGAAGAAACTCAAATAACTTAGCAAAATAATTAAAATCAATTTGTACTAATTAAATGTTCTGCGGTGTTTTAGAAACACATTACCCTGCGTTAAAAATTAAACTGCAGCATTTTAAATTTCACAATTTACAGTAAAAGCATGCAATTTTTAAAAGGAGAAACAGATTAAAATGAGGATTGATTCCAATATATTGAAACAGAGATGGGGTGAAAGAGCCAAAATATTTCAACCAAAGAAATTTAAGTCAGCAATTAAAATATGAATCGCTAGCATTACAGTTGTCACAGACGGACATACGGACTGAAGGCAGGATATGAGCCCATGTATTGGACATGATATGATCAGCTGAATATGGCAAATAAAAGAGATATAGATTGGGACAATTACCTGCAGAAAGTTTATACTCATACTTTCCTAAACAGGGCTTTTAGTAAATCGGAGGGCCTAGCGCAATAGTAGAAATCGACGAAAGCCTTTTAACGCAGCAAAAAACCCAAAACCGTACTAGTACTTATTATTTATTAAATAAAAAAGCGTCGGTTCCTTCAGAATTCGTCAGGAACAATTAAGTATTGGCGCGAGATCTCCGTCAACAGTCTAGTCTGATAGTAGTCAACTCTCACGGTCGACAGGATAATACACAAATGCCTTTCGTTTTACAGAACCTATCATCTTTACAGCTTCATTTACTTCCATAAAATTCTCTGCTTGTGTCTGAAAACATTCTAGCTAAAAGAACGGGTCTGAGATGAATATGTAAAGGATGAGATGAATATGAATTCTTGTAACCCCACTTTTCACACAGGTATCTGATATATCTTCTACTTTTATAGGTCCAACTTTTAAAAACATATTAACGTATTATCCTAAGATAGAAATGCAGTGGAAACAGGTTTGCTGTAGCAGCTGTATTGAGTAGTCAGAAAAAGTTGTATGAGTTACTGCGGCATTTTTTTTCTTGAGCCATTCAAATTAAATAGAGCTTTTGGAATGTAAGATACTAAATGTCTTGATAGATTTTAGTCATATTAAAAGATGTAACCAGATTTTATCGTAACAATTATGAAGTGCCAACACGAGATATATTGCCAACTGAGCAAGTTATATTCATATTAGCATATTTTTGTTTACCCCATTGCTTCATTTAAGTAAAATTATTTTAGGTTTTTTAAGTAATAAAATTTCAGTTTTTTTAGCTATAGACATTTCATTTCAAATTTAAGAGAAATCGTATTGCATTAGTTATGCTTACGTGATGCTTGACGCCAAAGGATCTAAAAGTTGAACGTAATCCGTGCTGACTTCATTTGTGTCTTTCCTCATTTCCACATTTTCCGTAACCCTGTAAAATTAAGCGAATAAGAGTAATTAAACAGTAAAAGACAAACCAGCCAGCAAACAAACAAACCTATTATAATGTTCAAAAGAAATTAGACATAAAAGTTAACAGTAGTACGTGAGCTGAATGCAAGCAATCAGTTTCAAAACGAAAAAGGAATGTACATATTTTATTAAATAACATCGAAAACTTAAAGTAAATCTAGCTATATCAATTTTCCTTAATTGACCAGTATGCAAAGCTAATTCAAACTATTCAAAATAAGTATATTCAAAAGAACTTCTATAGATTCCATTTAAAGCTAACGACAATTTGTTTGATACTTATTATACGAAAATGCTAATCAATTTTTTGTGTTTTTAGTTTCTTCTGATATGAAAAGAATCTTTGAAAATCTTTAAATCTTAACTAAACGATCGCAGCGCATTACAAATTACATGACCTAAAAAGTCTTATTTTTCGACGCTTGATTTAATGAACTTTTTTTTATAAAAAGATAGCCGAATCAAATATTTAGACAAATAAAATTTTAAGCAATTTACTTTATCAACAATTATATTTATTATGATCGCATCCTACGTAATTTATTATTATTTTTTATATTTGTGCTAACTGATAAATGAATTATAGTTATTTCTTCTGCTCAGTGTGTTCGTTTAACGAATTAGTTGATGCATTAATTAATAACGTTAAGTCAGGTTTTCCTATGTATTAGGTCCTCCAGTGCAGATTGTTCCCATTAGTCTTCTTTTGTCGATGTACTCGGTGAGGCTATACTGTGAAGACTACTCGATTTTTATGTACTGTGTAGAGAAGGTACAGCAAAATTAGGTCAGCCACGTTCAAATAACTTTTTTAGTGCAAAGCAGATTAACACGTAATGATAATGAGCTTAAGGCAATTGAAAGTCACTTCTCAGATAGGCAGTTCGCAGTTACATATTTTTGCATGAAGTCAAATACGGTAACTTGTTTTCTTTATAAAATGTGCATTTATCTTCAAAAAAGGAAGCAATGGCAAAAGCTGACTTGTAGATGGTTAGTTTTAGAATTTATTGATTCAGTGTTATTTTTCTCCATCGATTTCGGCTAAGAGAAAATCAGTTAAGTGATAGTAATGATAAAGGAGTATGAATGATGATAAAAAATTACTTAATTCTTGCTTACTTTCTACCAACCAGTAAATTCATTTGTGGATTAAAAGAAACTATAACAAAAATATTTCTAACGAAGAACACTCTTCATTGACTTTTACGAATAAGTTAAAGGAAATTTCATTCGAAAAGGAGATCAGTTTTTAAAAATTCTTTGACATAGGGAAAATTTGCTTAATTGTTACGGCAAAGCACATTACGGCTATCTGTCTAAGGTGAGCGATGCATTCATGGAGAATTTTGTAAGGGAAATGGCTGATATACACGTTATACATAGGGTAAACCACGGAAACGCTTATTCAGCCAGCCTGTTCGACTGAATTCCAAACCAGGTCAGAACTACCAGTGTTCTGCAAATTTTACCACTCGTTCCCTGGTGGACAGAGAAAGTTTGGTCTTGCAACAAGTGTCAACATTTAAATTAAGCAAAATTTAGTCTTCAAAGAAATTGACAAGCTAATAAATATTCTATTGTTAATCATTTAGTAGTCGCTTAATTATTCTTTTAAATTTAACTCTGCTGAAATTATCCAAATAACTTCTTTGGTTGGTATAATAGTGATTCTCAGATTGTTATGCTTAACGTATCTCTGAGAAATATGCAGTGTAGTTCGTTCACAAATAAAACTGTGGTTATAGTATAATGCTCAGATTAAAACTTATTAACTGATGCATGTAATCAGTAACTACTGATGTATGTGTATCAGTATTACTGATGCATGTAAATCAGTAGTTTCTGATACATAGCTGTAATGTTCTAGACTAATATGTAATGATGTAAGAATTTTGATTGCGTCGATACTGAGATGTTGATCCATAACGGACAGCAAACTTGGCCAACGAGGCAGGTTAAATATTCATTTTTATTTCAGTTGATATTTGCGGCCACCGTTCACTTGCACTCTAATCGTGACTACATTTTTGAAAACTTTGCGGTAAGAAGAGAAGCAGCAAGCAGCGGTCTACCACGGCCAAAGTATAGAAAGTAAGTACTTTGTGTTCAGGATGAAATCTTGATCCAGAATAAGTTAGTTTTGGTTTCAGTGCATTTTCTTAGATAACTAATAATGCTGTAAAATTATTATTGGCTGTTTGTGTTTTAGTTACATTCACATAATCAATGTTATATGAAAGTTATACGACATGGATTAGTCTCGAAATGATGCAGTGCAGAAAAGTTATTTCTATTTTTAGAACAGAGAAGAGAAATATCTAAATTAAAATTAAGCATTAAGGGGCTATTGCTAATTTAAATTAAAATTTGTTTACATATTTTATATCATATATGTACTGATTCGATGGTGTAGATGACTTATTGATTCTCTAACGGCGCACATAGACTAACAAAGCCGTGTAGATGGAAATGATAGACCTTGCAGACAGACGTAGCTGAATTCGACATAATTTTATTATTGGATCAAGCACTTTTGGAAACACAATATTTGCTTCATACAGAGGTGCGAGTTCAGTATGCACATTACAATTTTAAAACTTAACTCATCTTCAAACAATGGATGATGCAACGTAAAGCAACAGGAAAGAAGGGAAAAAGGAGCGTAGTTGGACTGCAGTAGTATTTATAGTAAACTTTTTCTTTAATCTGATTGGCTAAGAACTATACCCAGTGCAGAAGATTAAGATGACATAATGCGGAATTAGGTTTTAGATATGATGCAGTGTCAAAAACGTTATTACTATTTTTGAACAGAGAGGGGAAACTGCCCAAATTCAAAAGAGGAATTAAAGAGCTATTGTTAATTTAATGTATAATTCATAGTTACGTGCTACTTGTCAGGCCGTAGGAGGAGAGAAGAGGCAGACCATAGATGTAGCTAATGATGTAAACAATCTTAGACAACACATGAGGAATCTTAGGAAATCTTAGACAACACATGCCGCTGGACTTTATTCTGCTGGAATAACTCTCCATGTATCCCAGCAAAGAATGGGAGCATATGTGGCTGTATGATCTCCCTCTCATAAAGCTGAGCTTTTAACGTGCCTTGAACTACAAGTAGAGCGGCCCAGCTATCCTAAAATATAACTGCTCAGGCAATAATGGTTGTTAAGGATCTGTGACCTTCGACAGGGAGGTTGAAATTATACTACTCGTTAAGGGGCTCCCACACTCGGAAACGGTGGTCCATCTGACCCCAAACGAAACATGACGCTTTGCTACATGTTACGAATCTCCATTTCCTGGAAATTCACGTTGCTCTGACGTGGTCACCATTCTAAGTGGAGCTGCCGATGTTCCGGCATTAAAGGCAGGATGCGTAAATGGAATCGAAGAGTGACTTCTTGGATGCTGCGTATTGCAATAGTTTTAACGCCCACTTGCGTTGATAGAACTGCCTGTGTAGAGGACTGGGATTTGCACGTGCCTGGCGAACGATTGTTAGAACTTTGCTTGGTACTTCCTGAGCCGGTTCGTCTCGCGAAGTTCCCTCATGTGTTCAATGTTGTCAACATTGTCAGGTAATATTTGTTCATTTATACATTCACTGGTCGGGCGTAACAATTTCTTGTCGAAAGTGGGAACTGAAAATCTAGTGCCTTATTTATTTCTATAATAATGAAACTGTTCACAACTACTCTACCTTATTTTGGAAAATTATGTAATTGAATGTACACATTAAGTTTCTTAAAAGAAATACAATCTTTTTCACTGGGTAGTTAAGTAGATGGTTATGCTTATTGATTCTAAGTGCATTGTTCTTCAATGGCAGTGATTTCAGGAATTAAATTTTAATATCGAGCTTAATTATTAATTTTATATATCTACTTAGCTAGAAATATCCATTTAATATCCATCTTAATTAATAATTTTATAATTCGTCCAGTCATATTTAAAGAAATCAAAGATGTTAAGTTTCATACAAATAAAATTTGAAAATGTTGCTTCAATAATTTTCAATAAATTTAATTTAGAAATGAAAATTATTCATATAAATTAGTTACTTTGAAAGTAAAATGTGCACCAAATACCTTGTCAAATATTTCATAAATTTTTGAACTGCAGTTCTTGTCAGTGTTGAATAGTCCTTCGAACATACTGAAAAAGTTAGATATACTATAGTCACTTCCTTACTAAATCTAGAGTTCTTTGAGTTCTGAGAGTCCTTCCCCGAAATCTTTAGGTAACCAAAGTTGAGAACATCTGCCTTACAACTTTCCACATTCAACAAAATCTGTTAGCCTTGGTTAAGGATTTTAATTCTAATAATTAGTTTACCAAAGTGCCGTTACTTACAATGATTACAATGCGACGTGACGTAACTTTTAAAACCTTAGCTCACATTTTTTTAATTTTTTCATTTACACGACAGATAAAACTAGAGCTTTGTTTTAGTTGCTATTTATTATTTTTAGCCTATTTAACTTCCATTCAAACTTTTGGTAGTTTTATTTCTTGAAGAAAAGGAACCCGCTCATAGCTTTTTTATAAAATAAATGCTCAGCTCGTTTTTGAATATCGCCCAATTTTAAAACTGAAAAACAAGCTAAACTCGAAATTAACTTGTTATTCATGCATAACTTAAACCTCAAGATTTCACTTTGCACTGGAAAGACATTCCAAGCGCTTCGACATACTTTTGTTTCAAAACCGTCAACGATGTGTTTTATATGTCGATAGGTAGTTGTCGCAAAAGCAAAAATGATGGGAATTATCAATATAGTATCTCCCACAAATTTACATATTCAAAACGTAAAAGGATGTCTGTTGGTTGCATTGTTACTTCGCATCGTTTACAAGCAAAGCAACAGAGACATATTCCAAGTAATATACCTCCCACGTAATCTAAACAAAATCCACGAAGAAGGTGTAGAGTATGTCCCAAAACAGGCA